GTGGATCTGGTGGTCTTTTCCCAATCACGTGCTTAATTTGACTTGTGATAGCCCCCAGGAGTATTTGTTCCATAACCTTCCTGGGGACTGAAGCACAAGTGATGGGACTATAATTTCCTGGATCCCCCTTTAAGCCCTTCTTGTAGATGGGGGTGACATTTGCCTTCTTCCAGGCTTCTGGGATGTCCCCCAGTCTCCATGACTTCTCAAAGATTATGGAGAATGGCCTCAAAAACACATCAGCTAACTCTGTAACACCCTTGGTTGGATACTGCCAGGGCCCATCGATCTGTAGGGATTAAGCTCCTGTAGCAGTTCACAGACAAACTCCTCTTTCCCTGACAATAAGTCTGTGTTTGCATCAACCTGGATTGTTGATCCCTGAGGCCCAACAGTGCTGGTAAAGAATGAGGTGAAGAAAGTGTTGAGAACCTCTGCCTTTTCAGCATTTCTGGTGATTAATTCACTTCTACTGCTTAACAGTGGGCAAATATTTTCCTTCTGTGCCTGCTTGTTGTTTACATACCTGAAGCACCATTCCTTGTAGTTTTTGACCTCTCTGGCCAATTTCAGTTTGAGCTGAGCTTTTGCTTTTCTAACTGCACCTCTGCAGTTTTAGCAGTAGGAAGGGATGCTCCTCAGCAAGGATGTGGGATTATGACCTGACCAAAACAAACTGTGTCTAGCATGTGATGTCTGATCCACATCACTGCTTCCCGCAGCAGCATCCCTTGGTCCCTGCCAGACAGCCATTACATGCTTTTGTTAGATTTCTATATATTCTCTTTTCTGTAAATTTAAAGAGGACCTTCCCTTCCAGTAAATTACAGCTTTCATTTGGCTTTCAGGCCAGCGTGCAACTCATGTTTTCATACAGTCCGAGCTGCTCGCATTTGGCTTTCCTGAGGTGCTGACTGTGGAGAAGGTTAAGCAGTTTAGCGGTTGAGTCACTGGTACAAAAACAAACCTACAGATTTCTGATGCAGAACACACACCAGAACAACATGCTTTAGAGAAGCAGCCCAGCTGGAGCCAAGTATACGTGCTATCACATTGCATGCGCACAGTGTTTATTTACAAAGCAAGCCAAGTAGAACTGCCATCCTTCCAGGTTTCCTTAAACGCGTACTTTTCGTGCCCAGAAGCTGTCCCTGGCTCAGGTTTTTGGTGGGTGGGGGATTGTAAAGCAGCCATGCATGCAGGACCTGCAGACAGCAGTCTTCTCCAGCACAGCAACCTGCTCTAGTGGAAGGTGTTCCTACCCATGGCAGGGGGATTAGGACGTTAAGGACCTTTCCAACCCAAACCGTTCTGTGATTCTGTGATCTACCAGGAGACGAAGTGCAGGTGTGCAGGGAGGGCTTGTCCACAGCTACTCCCATGTGGGCTCTGAGATTCCAGAGATAACAATGGGTTTTCCACACCTTCCCTGTGGCTTTCCTCCCAGTGAGCACACCCATCAACCCCCTCAGGGGACCTCAGTTGTCACCGGAGACGAAAACACCTTTCCAGGGACTGCAGCTTCACACAGCTGCCCTGCACACCGCAGTCCACAAGCCTTGTGAGCACTAGCAATGGGCAGAAATTGCTGGCAAAAATACTCGAGGAAGGGGAATTTTCCCCTAAAGGCTTGGGAACTTAACACTGTTACCTGGAGCTGCACACTGAAGCCTCTGCTAGCTTTTTACAGTTTTTTCTGTCCTCCACACTCATTATGGAAAAAGCGCTTCCCTGCTCCCCCCCTCCCCAGGAGATGGGATGGTTGAATTCTCACTTCAGCAGGGCTATAACAAGTCACAAGGTAAGGCAGGTGAAAGCCCTTCAATTTATAAAAATGTCTCTGTATCCTCTAAAAGCTGAAACAGGCTGCATGTCAATAACCATTTTCCAAAACCCCACTGATATTCATTTGCCCTCTTTGTCCAAGGCTTCAAGGTCCTCTAGACCTATGGCTCCATGGCAAGAGGCTCCTAATTACCAAGGTTACAACATCATCACTGCTGGATTAACAAAGCACTGGGAGGTGACTAAGGCCAGGTTTCAGACCATGATGGTGAGGAAAGGTGATAATTCAACTGGCTTGCCCAGAGATCCAAGGATGGCTGTGAAGTGCCCACAAGCCCATGGCCACTCAAGGTCCAGCTGCAGCATAATAAACACACACATGGCAGAGCAGCTCACTTCATCATATAAACCCTAATGCAGCCACGAGGCATAAAGCCACAGAGTAATTACAAAGAGAACTACTTTTAAGACATGTAGCAAGGGTTTAGTGCATTTCTTTCTTGCCCCCCTTAACAGCAAAGGTGCTGTGGAGTCAGCCAGGTTCCCAGTCCTTCACCTGCCCAGGTAAAAATCTGCCCTTGGCAGGAATGCTCAGGAAAAGCAGAGCAGGGCAGGCTGGCCGTTGCTTCCCCTCTGCCCAGCAAACGCAGGGAGATACAGCCCCTCTGACACCTCACTGCTGGTGTTGATACCTGCAGTGCTGCCAGCCCCACAGCCAGGAGCATGAGATGCTGCTCACATCCTGCTTTGATGACCTTGGCACCCGCAGCTCCCCTCCAAGGGCTGGGTTTGAAAAGGGGCTGGTACCAGTGCGTAAGACAAGAAGCAGCCCACAGCCACCTGCTGCCCTCCTGGAGAAGGTAAGGAGGCTTCCCAAGGGACTGTATACCCAAGGTCTGGGTTTGGTAGTTTTTCTTAATGAGGATGCTGCTCCAAGGTATAGCACTGGGAAACCACTGTGTGCTTTGGGGAAAGGATCTAACCAGAGCCTTGCCCAGCTGGCCTGCTGTGACAATCCCCAGTTAGGGGTCATGGCTCACCCTACCCTTATCTGGCTCGCTGAACCACTTTTCACCCAGCACCAGCTTTTCCCAGTACTGCTGCCTGTACCAGCCCACTTGAAAAAGCAACATGAACAGAAATCCACCTTTACAAAACCTGAGGGGTTTCCCACTGCCACAGCTGCTGCAGAAGCCCCTCCGCACCTCATGTGAGAGGGCTTTTGGCCTCTAGAAATTAGTGATAGCCCACAATAGCAGATTTTTCCTCTAAGCACCACATTCACCTGGGTAAACAACCATACTCACCTGGACACATCCTGACAATTAGGATTTGTAAAGCAAGCTCTGATTTTTTAGCTCATCAGCCCTTGCTGCAGGGAAAAAACAGCTCCCCAGTTTGCTCAAGTACTCCAGGAAAACCCTTTCCTCAGGAAACTAGCACTTTGCCCATTCAGTGGCCTCTTGTGCTATTTGGCAGGTGAGTTTTGGAGGAGCAGAGGCACCACAGTGGTGGTGAGGAGGAGGCTTGGAGTGAGCACTCCAGGATGCCATGTGCCCCAGGATGCAACCCCAGTCACTGCACGAAAATTCTAGGTGCTTTAACAGCAGCTGTGCAAGGAGGTAGTGCTGGTTTATAAATGCATGCCGTTTACACCTGAAAGAGCCGGTTTTAATCCTGACCTTGCCGCTCAAGCAGGGCTCCCCCGGAGGTCGGGGAAGAGGAGCAAGAGGGAAGCAGTGCATATCCCGGCACCAGGCAGAGGGGGGCATCATTCAACAGGCACAGAACCCTCCCAGCAGCAGGCTCTTTACTCCACTAGATGGTGCTCACACCTTGCTTATGGATGCTGCTTAATGGCGTAGACAAGGATGAGCTCCGGACTGGTGAGGGAGGTGGCCAGGCACCGCGCTGGGGTCTCCACGGGGCTGCAAAACCACCAGTCCCAGCCCTGACAGCGGTGAGACCCCCAAAACCACCCCCTTCCTTTGCCATGCAAAATGAAACATACATTGAGCCCCAGCTCCCTGGAGCATCGCTGTGGCCCGTCAGATGTGAAGCGTGACATGCCATGGCAATTCTGGATGCAAGTTTCCAGCCCAGGCTGCCAGCAGCCCTGTATTCCTTTTCACTCTGACCCGGGTGGGCCAACACAGGAGGTACCGGAGCCTTTGGGGGTCTTGTGGATGCTGCCCCACACCTGGGAAGCTGCAGGCAAGTTCCTGCCCCAGACTGCTAAAACCTTAAACCAGGCTGCTTGGCACACCTTCCCTGGGGCCACTGCAGCCTGATCCCCTGGTGTGGGTGTAGGGGGCACATGCAGGTTTTGCCCCTTTCTGGCAAGGCAGAGCTCTGACAGTTGGTACTACTGGTAGCACCAGAGATGTGCAATGTTATCCTTGTCCTGGTGGTCTCAGCGTCACTCACCCATGCATGATGCCCAGGAATCAAGTCTATGGCCTGAAACGGGACATGCCACTTTACCACGTGTGGGTGTGCAGAGGACGAGGGAGCAGATGTTCTACTGTACATTGCCATCATGGAGGCTGCTCCCACATCCTCTCTCTGCAGGGTGAAGCTCCTGTGGGGGGTCTCGTCCTGCTCGTGCTGAGAGTGGCACCTATCCCAGCTAGGCTTGAACGCTGCTCCCACTGTGAGGTTCGCTGCTGATCACACCCATTTTAGCAGCTTCTCAGACAGAAAAAGCAACCTGCAATTGCATAAACAGTGATTAACTCTGGGCACTGGTGGCACAGCTCCAGCGTGTCGAAGCCCAGCCTGGCTCACGTGCCGGGGACAGTGGTGAGAATGGCGGCAGCATGGACAGGGCATTATGGTGGTGCTAGAAGGGTGGCAGGGCTGGCAAGTGCCCTGGCAGGGTGCTGGAGAGTGCGATGGGGAGTTCTTGCTGCAGGAGGTGGATGAGCCAAGGGGTGGGTGATGCTCTGTGGGGCCCCCCAGCAAGGACAAACTGTTCCCCTCAGTTTGGGAGGTTTGATGAGGATGGATGTGTGGGGCTAGTTGGCCAAATTGCTGCCCCAGAAGTGATAGATGGGTGAGCGATGTACTAGGGCTAGAAATCCCCTCGTGCCAAGGACCAGACCCCTCGCACCATGCTGCTGGTGGCAAAGCATTTGCCTGAAGTCCTGCTGCAAACACCAAAGTCATCAGAGCCTCAGTTACAGAAATGCCTTTATTTCTCCATTAGGCTGGAAATGAAACCGCTAGGACAGAGGCTTTTTCTCACCGTTTATTAACTTGCTTCGCATCAGTGCATGAACAATGCTACCCTATGCCGTGTAGCACGATTGCTGTTACATGGCTGTCTAGCACAGCAAACCCATACATTGCTGTCACAACGCTGGATGCAGTCCCCCTCCAATTAACAGCAGGATTGCATGAAATGAGTGATTTTTGGCTCCTGGACTGTGAAGCACCACACAGCGACATGCACAGTGCCCCTCACCCAGGCAAGAGCAGTGCCCGCAGTGGGGATGCTGAAGGGGGGACAACACATGGGACCCCGCAGCTCCACTGCTGGAGCCCACTGAGGGGAATACCAGCAGTCCCTCAGAGGGCCCCCCGGCTCCAATGGTCATGTGGGGCTCCCCACTCTGAGGGCTGCAGTCCTGCCTGCCGGCTATCGCTGCGGCTGCCCCGCTCCCCCTCGGAGGACTGGCTGCTGTCAGCACTCCCCAGGCTAGCGTAGGAGCCGTGGGGGCCGCCCCCCGCCCCTCCAAGGGCATAGAAGGCCTGCTCGCGGACATGGAGCTCGTCGGCACGCTTCATCTGGTCCAGCTGCCTGCTGCGGCCCAGCGCTGCGAACGTGCCCGGCGCCCCAACCCCCAGCCTCCTGCCATGGCGCATGGGCAGGCGGCCTGCCCCTGCCCCGGCACCCACCACCACCGATCCTGCCTTGACACCCCTCTCCTGCTCCTGGCCTCCCCCCGCTGCCACACTGTCCCTGCCTTGCCCTGCCGGCAGAGGGGCGCTGCCCCTCTCTGCGGTAGGACGTGATCTGTCCCTGTCATTGCCACCGTGGCTGCCAGCCCTCATCTGGGCCCTGCTTGGTGCCTGGACACCAGCTTTGCTGCGTGGGGATGGCACCTTCTCCATCTTGGGGGTCTTGTCCAGCCCTGCTCCCCCCGGAGAGACCTTCACCCCTGCCCCGGGCTGTCCCTCCCTGTGGGGCTTTGGGGTGGCTGACCCCACTTCCCTGCTCCCCTCTCTCTCTGCTGCAGTGCTCTTGCCTGCCTCATGGCCACCAGCCGTCTCCAGCGGGGTGGTGCAGTCCTTCTCACTCACCCCAGGGGAGGCCACTGTGGTGCCCAGGCGGATGCCGGCTCCCTCAGCTTGGATGGTGGCACCAGCCTCCTTGTCGCCCTCTGGCTGTGGGGTGGTGACAACCAGGAGGGCTGGCCTCCCATCAACCCTCTGCCCCCCATCTCTTGCCTCATCATCATCATTCCTATGGATGCCAGGACCCGCAGGGACAGTCACGTCACCACCAGCAAACCCCGAGGGGCCAGGGGTCACTGATCCTTCTCCATCACCAATGGTGGTGGCACCATCCTCATCGTCTCCTGTAGGACGCCCATACCTGGGGCTGCTGGTGATGCTGTACCCATGTCTTGGAGTGGCTGTGGTGGTCCGTCCTTCAGGCTGCCTGTGAGAAGGGATGCCATCATCATCATTGCCATCATGTGCCACAGTGACACCCAGCCTGGGCAGGGGGCTGCTAGTTGCTGCAGTGGGGATGCCATTGTCCTTGCTGCTAACAGTGGTACCGACGTGGGTGGTTTCTTGCTCTCCCACATGGATATTGGCCCTCCCAATGAAGATGTTGACCTCGTCGTCCTTGTCTGGAGAGATCTGGGTGAAGCTGGTGGCCCTTGGTGTGCTGCCCACCTTCCCGTGGGTGATGGTGATACTGCTCGATTCAGGGATGTAAGCGTATTCATCCACACCTTTGGCATCAATTTGGACGTCCTCCATCTTCTCAGTGACAGAAGCAAGAGCGGCCCCTCCTGTCCCTGGGCCCTGCATGGCACCCTCCTGCCCTTGGACAGGGATGGTGGCCTCACCACTGCCCTCATCCACAGCCCCTCCTGTGGCAGGGGCCCTCTCCCTGCCAGCTGTCATGCCCCCCTCCACTGGAATACCCGCAGGGGCACCAACATCCCTGTCCTCACTCCTGACACTGGACCTGTTCCCTGCCACAGCCTCACCAGAGTGTCCGCCCTCCTGGGGGACAATGGAAACACCACCATCGACTTCAAGCACCAAATCCAGGTCACCGCTGCCCTCTGAGCTGGCTGGGGTGGGACCTGCGATGCCGACACCACCGCGTGCTCGTGCACCAGTGCCTGGGCGAGGTCTGTGAGTATCTCTGCCAGTGCCTGCAGTGCTGTGGTTTTCAGGCCTGAGGCTGGTCCCGTTTTCCATCACAACCATGCTGCCATTGCCATCGTGCTCTGGGGCTGTCCTGTCATCCGTCAGCCCCTGCCTGGCATCATCCTCACCCAGCTGACGGCCGGGGACGGCACTCTGGCTGTCAGCCTCTTCCTTCTGCGCAGTACAACAAGGGAGAGATCAGGGCCAGCCCCAGTGCCTGCCAGCTGCATGGGGCACTGCAGCCACGCTGGGGTCCTGGTGTGACACCCAGCTGCCTCCTCACCTTTATCTGTGTCTGGTTCCTCCGTGTTGAAAACGAGTAGACGTATTTGAAGACATAGAAGCCATGCTTGGCATTGCAGCCTTTCAGCAGTATCTGGTGGAGAAGAAAAGAAGCAAACCCCACAATTTTCTTAGTAAATGTGATGTCAAGAGCTTGCCTTGCTGTACCTGGCACTGCAGCAGGGACCTACTAGCATCCACCGGAGCCCTGAAAAGGTAGCTCTCACTACCTTATAGCTGCCATTGTGGGCAGGGACCTGGGTAGGATTCAGGTGCTTGCCTCCTGATCTCCAGGGTTTGGCTTTCCCTTGGGCTCATTTTTACAGGGTAGCTTGTGGTTTGAATGAACAACCTGGTTGATGGTCCCACCAGACATTAAGTGATGGGACTGATGGTGACTAAAGTGCTGGAAAGACAGCAACTGGCTTCCAATAGGCAAAACCAGACATTTTCTCCCACACTGCTCATCTGAATTTTGCTACTGATGCATTTTACACTGATATGCTTTGACAAAAACAACCCTATAGCAGGGTTTTAGTGGGCCTGGGACTTCTGCAGCCTCACCTGAGGGTACATCAAGCATTTATGCTCTGGGGCTGGGCAGGGGCAGAGCAGCAGTTGGTGTTGAAGGAAGCCTTTTTCTGCTTAAGCACATCACACCTTTCACCTCCCCTGCTCTTCATAAAGGCTGCTCAGATGCAAGCAGACAGATGGTCTCTTTTTCTGTGGCTCGCTAGGGCTGCCCTCCAAAAATGTTTTTTTTTCCTATAGGGTCCAGATGGGGCAGGGGGGACTTACCCGGTGCTGTCCTGCACAGTTCCCGGCAGCTCTCCCAGACAGTGGCGGTGGTACCTGTTGGCAGCAAAACACAAATGAGAGCTGAGGTGTCAAATGCTGCCCTGGTGTGCAGGCAGTTTCCAGCACCCACTGCTAGCCACTCTCCTTGCCCAGTGTGATGGGCATGCCATGGTGTCCAGGGAAGGGTGGGAAAACTGTTTGTAAGCCCATAAATCCTAAGGTGCTACCTGGGGTACTGGCTCAAAGCCAGCAGTAGTAGGAAAAGTCAGAACCCCATTCTGACAAGTATTGCAAATCCTGCTACAGCATGCTTTTAATACGATACAGCTACTTTTAATGGGATATTGTTGCTCTGCAAATACCCTGGATTATGCTGCAGGGTATTTTCATTGCAGAGCACTGCTCGCACCACAATAAGCTGCAGCTTACGTCTGGGATCTGGCTGCAATGAGAGCCTGAAGCTGGTTTAACTGGTTGTGATTCCCAGTGTTTATTGGGCAAACTCAGCAGCAACAGCTGTGCCCCCACAGCCAGGTTTCTGTACAAGCTTCTGGCTTCCTCTGGTTATCCTGGCATCTTTTGAGATGTATTGGCCAGTGTATCCCTCAGGGATGGGGAACCTGGAGGTGGGAGCATCCTGTGAGCCTCACCAAGACATTCCCTACATGAGAATGTGGCCCTGAGCCACCTCCAATCTCAGCAAAATCAGCCACTGAAGTGCCTTGAGCACAGCTGAAAGGGGCAGAAATGTACCCCAGAGTATTAAATATTCTGGAGTTATTCTACTGCTTGTGAACAATGTCAAAGGCTGGATTACAGCCCTGGCTACACAACAGAGTATTACCTGCCTCTTTTTTGTACCCTTATCTGAAAAGCAAATCTGTGCTGATTTATTGCCTCCCCCTGTGCTACCCTACAACAGACCTGCTTGTACTAGCTTGTTGTGGGGGCTAAAGGACACACAACTGGTGCCCAGCCCTCAGGGAAGATGTGGCTTCCCTCCTCCTTACCATGCCAGAAAAACATGCCTTCACTAGGAGCAGATTTTCACTCTAGCTGTGTATGTAATACATTGGGAAGCAGTTTCAGAGAGAAAAATGACTGCTATTATATTCATCTTAGTTTGCCCTTTGTTTCAGTTATGTCTGTCTGAATTTCACTTTAGGAGAGCTGGAATATAACTGCAGGCACCCCTCTGACCACTGATACCCACATGGATAAGCTGAGAATCCTCCCTGTACCTCCCTTTCCATTGCTCTGCTCAGGCTGTTCCCAGGCCAAAAGCTCAGGCACCTCAATACTAATATTCCTCAGTGATAACATATATTTTTCTTGCTGTGTTCAACTTTGTGCCAGCACTTCAAATCCCCCACCCCAAGCCCCAGAGGTGCTACGTGGAAGCACAACTCATGCTTTCCTGTTGCTGAAAGCGTGGTGGGCCACACTGGATGGCACACCCCATGCTTTCAGCAGCACACTGGGAAGCTGGGGAGAGCCATACTCACAGGTATTGAGAGGGCTGTGCTGAGCAGGCACAGGCACAGGCACACGAGGGCTGTTTGCATCTTGGGCAGCTCCTGGAGACACAAAGGAAAGCATCACTGAAGTTTGTCTTCCTGGAACTTGTGGTATCCAACAGTCCCAGTCAGCAGCAACCCAAAATCCCCCACAGCACAGGTTATCCAGTGACCCTGGCTTTCCCCATCCTTTGCAGTGGCCCTCAGCATTACTGTGCCTCTCTGCGCTCCTTGCAGCAAAGGTGATGCTCTTACCACGTGCATACAGCAGCAAGGTGAGGACACATCCATGGCCAGCAGCACTGACTGGGTACTTTAACACCAGCTGTTAAAGCTTCTTAACATGCCATGTCAAAACACCTTGGGTGGATATTTGCAATAAATGACCACCACAACCACTGCAGGCTAAGCCATACAGTCGTAAGCCCGGATTAAGACACTTGCACACTGTTTTTAACAGCACAGATAAATGGCAGAAGACAATAGCTCTTTTGGCTAATAATTCTCATTTCACCCATCCACCCTGGTTTGGGCTTGCAGGTCTAGCCCAGAAATTATATTCAACCATGCAAGAGCTGCTACAGAAAACATCAGAAGGAAATTCATATACAAGGATTCTATGATTCCATAAGGATCAGCAGTACAAAGCAATGTAGGTTCAAGAGATCTTAACGTAGAGATATGCATAGCTGAGGCTGGGACCATCTCCCTGTCCCCACCAAGGCTTGCCCAGAGCGAAAGCAGAAGATGCCCTGCTCAGAGAGAGCAGAGACGAAGGGCTGTGGAGAGACAGGCCAGGCAAAGCAGGTAAGGAGATTACCTTTTGCTGTCGGAGGCAGGTCCCAGCAGCAGACCGTGGAGGCTGTGTCCACTTTGCTGAAATTTAAAGTTGGCCCTGGGTGTGCAGAGCCAATCAGCTCCTGCCCAGGGACATTTGTCAGGGCTGGCAGCACCCGCAGATAACCAGGGGGAGTAATTTCCAGCTAAAAATGTGTTTGTGGTGGAAGACAGCTATCAAATGTTCCACCTGGCTGGATAAACAGAAAGCATGGGTTATAAATATCTGTTCTGAAGGCGAAATTGCTCGATGATTAGCGCAGATCTTAGTGTGGCACACGTCCAGCCTGGTTATTGATAAGATGGGTTGCAGGGGGTTTTAACGTGCTCACTGTGACTGACATGGGAAAGCCTGACAAGGCTGCAGGAACAGAAGGGTGAGCTTGTCCTGGTCGCAGCCACGACAGGCATTGTGGGACAGTGCTGGCCAAGCTGAGAGCTGCCACCACGCCTTAGCTTCTGACACTTGCTTTTGGGGTTTCAACCTCAGCCCGCCTGAGGCTGAGCACCCCATCCCTGTGCAAGTGCAAAATAGAAGAGTGGTTTTAAAAAAAAGGTATTTTTTTAATGCAGGGCTTCCACAGGTCTCTTCAAGCCCACCTTTGCTGTAGGAAGGTGTGCTACAAGGATGTGCACAACATACGTAGTCTATTTCTGCACCCTCTATCTTTAGTGGTATTGCTGGTCACCTACACATATGCCAAGGGGGGTTGCCCATGCTGTGGGCAGCCTGGCTAGGTGGCTCACTGTGGTGATGGTGACAACAGCTCCCATCCTGCATGACACCCTGCCTCAAACCAAACCCTGGGAGTGGGCACAACCATTGCATTAACACCAGAAATACTCAAAACATCAGCATCCAGCCTCAGGTGGGAGCAAATCTCAGGGCCAGGAGGAAACTTGCCCTTTCCACCAGGCCAGGGAGCTGCAGTCGAATGCAGCCCCGTGAATGCTGGAGCAGTGGCCAGCGCGCTTTGGCTCAGGGGGCAGAGCTTTGGCCAGGTGCCCGGGGGGACTGACGCACATGGGACTGGGCCATGTGCCCTGTGGGAGCAGGACCTGGCCCTCGGCAGTGCCAGGGCCCTTTGTCCCTGCTGGTTCCCTGACGTCTTTGGGCATCCCTGGGGATGTGGACAATGGGGTTCCCCTACCACAAAATCTTGCAGGGCTCCCCAGTGCCACCGCAGGTATCTGGCTCTGGGCTCCCATCCTGCAGGCAGCACCCTCTGCCACCCTGGCAGCTGCAGCCCAGCTTTGGCGCATGGAAGTGGGTTTGTACAGTGGCCAGCAAAGGAGAATAGAAACTTGATCTACAGGTTGATCTATACTGGAAGCTGAACATAAGTTTCCCTTCCAGGAGTGAGAGGGCAGCATGGTACCTGCTGTAACTCATCACTTTTCATAAATGGGGGCCCTGCCTGGAACCCAGAGGAATTTGGTCCTTCCCCATCCCTGGTGCTGATCCCCAGTTGACTGGGCCCATGCTCACATGGGGAGGTGACTTTGGGTAGAGATCTGGGGACCACAAGCCAGGCATCCCCATCTCTGATACAGGAGGCAGGTAGAGGCACGACTGCTGCCACTGTGACACCCTTACCTTGCCCTGGGGATGAGACTGTGTGGTGGGGAGAGATGTGGACTGTTTTGGGCTGTAGCACTCGTGTCCAAAACACACGTCCAAGGTGCCTGGATTTGGTGTGACCCACATGCCTGGCTCAGAGCTGCAGGAGCAAAGCTGTCATTACAGGGATGTGCATTTACAGCTAGTGATGCACGAAAAGAGAAATTAACATCATTACCTTTATTAATATTGCCTGGTCTGTGGTCAGGCTACAGGAGGCATGCTACCAAGGAGTGGAAGATGTAAAGTTATCATCACCCACATATTGCAAATTCATGCCAACTCTATGTAAGACATGGCAGTAATCCCACAGCAGTGACCCTGAAAATGCCCTTTCATTTTTTGGAGGGGACTCTACAGAGGCATTCCTAGTTAGTCTTTCTGCTTCTCCCTCTTTTTGTGTGCACCTGAGCTGGAATAAAGAGATTTAACCCTGAGCAGCATGAGCACCTGCAGCCCCTCAAATCCACCAAGCGTTGTGCTGCCCCACTGACCCCAGTGAATTTGGCAGTAGAGCTTTTATCATCAAGAAGCTCAGTTCTGTTGCTTTATTTCGTTTTGCTTCTTAAAATACAAAAAAAGGATGGGACAGAGCCAGTGCACACCACAAGCTGCCCAGCATCCCCTCTGGGGCGTGGCAGCTGCAGGGAGCATGCAGATGGATGTTCCTGAGTGAGATGGGGCAGGAGGGGCCAGCACTGGGGCTGCCCCTCACTCCCTGCTCATTGGCTGTAGTAGTAATCCTGGCCATACACATCATAGCCGTGCCCCTTATAGTAGCCGTACTCATCCTCGTAGGCCCGGTAGCTGTCCCCACGGGCATATTCATCCTGCTCCCCATAGCTGCCATCGGTGGTGCCCTCGTCCCCTCGGCCATGGCTCCCGACCGTCACCTCATACTCCCACTGGTCCCCAGCTGTGGTGGCATACGTGGGTGCCACATCTCCTGTGGTGGTTGCCTGGGTCAGCCCTTCTTCATTGGTGGAGCTGGGAACCGTGGTGTCTTCAGTTTCCTCCTCCTCTTCCTCCTCTTCTTCTTCTTCTTCTTCTTCCTCTTCCTCCTCTTCCTCCTCCTCCTCCTCAGCTGCAGCATTGCCCTCCTCAGCCACTGCAGTGCCATTGCCATGAGGTCCATCTGCACCCTCAGTGGTGTTGGTGCTTGTGCCATTGATGCCACTCTCATTCTCGGCTATCTCTTCCTCTTCCTCCTCTTCCTCTTCATTCTCATCACTGTCTTCATTTTCAGAGTCACCCCCCTTGCCCACAGTGCCGTTCCTGCCTGCCTTTAGAGGCCCTTGGCAGCCCTTGCCCTGGCAGGGGAAAAGAACACTTTTAGTTGGGTGCTGGAAGGTTATAGCTTTTTGGTGCCACATGACATGGGGCAGGTGTGGGCAGAGATAAGCATCACCCCCATCCCTTGAATGGCAAAACTGCCTTTTTGGGGTGCCCCTTCCAACCCTCTTGACAAGTTAATGGTCAGAGCTTGGTCCAGCTATGGGTATCTTGCACAGCAGACCCTCAAGCAGAAAAGGGGTGCAGGGCACCACATGGGTGCAAGCAAACATGCATAACCCCTGTCCATGGGAGCTCCCCTCCAGTCCCCCAAAACACACCTGCTGGGGGCATGCAAGGTCTCCTCCCAGCCCATCCTTGCTGTCTCCAGGGGCTGCTCCAATGAGGTGGCCATCTGCCTTGGTGCCAGCATGGGATGGCTTCTGCAAGGACAGGGAGAGAACAGGGTGGGTGGTCAGCAGTGGGAGCACAGCACAGCCCCCCCCCCCCGCCCCCCCCCCCCCCAGCAGTGAGGGGGGCACACAGCATCCCTGCACAGTGTTTGGCACTGCTCTGAGTTTCCTTCCTTCCCACGGGTCTCGCCCTAGGCTGAAATCGAGAAGCTGCAGCAGGGCAACCCCAGCCATGCAATTAAGCGGTGGTGGCTGGAGCTGGGTGTTCCCATTCTGGCTACACATTTTGCTTTAAGAAGCATCTAAAGGTTCGCTTTTGAAGTTACCTCTCCTGGCTTCCAACAAACAAAGAAAACCACAGGCACACTACTTGCAGACACACTACACACAAGGTGGAGATAGATGGCAAGAGCATGACAGTGAGGCATGAGCCCCAGCCCCACCAGCAGTAAGCCATCAGCACCACTCAGCCCCAGGGACCACACAGCAGAGCGAATCCCTCAGCAGGGTGCACAGCAGTCCATGCTGATAAAAGAGGAAATGAATACCCCAAATTCAAGCAGAGCCTGGAGCAACCACTGCAGAACTGGTGGGGCAGCTTGCCCTCTCCATAGCCCTTGGAGCACCTTGCCACCAGCAAATGAACCCAGGTATGGCAGGGAGACACAGGGTCACTGCCATCCCTGCCCAGGGCAATCCCCATTGCTCATGTGCCAAGACCAAGGATGCTCACCCTGGTGTTTTGAGCCAACTCAGACACTTAAAATACGGGTGTATCTGAAACCAGAAAAAAAAACAGGCTGTTTTCTTCTCCACTGGGGAGCCACCAGACTGCATGGTGAAGCCAGCTGTAGTGGGTCTGCAGCGGGGATACCCCCCATCTAGTAGCCAATATAATCGTGCTCTTTATATACCTGGGGGTATAAAGACCCTGGGGACTTTAATCATGATTTATCCTGCTGACCATTTCCTGCATCCCTGCTCCTGAACAGCCACTGCTCTGCTGCCCTTGACACAAAAAAGGCTACCTGGAACAGCAGGCTGCATTCCCCAGATGCAGCTGCATTCATGCATATCGCTTAATTTCTTCCTCAGGAATGAAATTCCCCCTTTGGCTGTCCCATCTCACTACTTGAAATTATCCCTAATGATCCCAGTGGTAGGAAAGAGCAACAGGCAAAAAGGGGCAAACTGCAGGGAGGTGCAGAGGCCACCTCATGCTGCACCCCAGCCCCAGGCAGGCCTGCAAAGTGGGGTTCAAGACCAGATGCCCAGGCTTACACTCCTGTTAAAAAGACCGCTGAAACTGGCATTTAAATCACTAAAAAAAATTGGGGGGGAAAGAGAAAAGAGGTGATTACACCTGACACGTAGGTTTCCAAGTATGATGGATCCCTGTCTCAGAGCACTTGTATGCCTGAGACTACTGAGCATTTGCAGCCTGGTGGGGCACAAGACACCATTGTAATCCCTGGTTTATAATTCTGGGCCTGAGTGACTCTCTCAAATGCAGTGGTACCAATGCATGTTGACCCAGCAGAGAGGAGCAGCATTTCTAGATGGGCTGGTACAGACGTGTATTTCCCAATATAGCATCAGTTTGTGTCCCTTCACACAGACATGTGCAAAGCACAACTGTATTTCCCACAGCAATATTATCAGCTCTATGGGGGCAATGCACCCGGAAAGGAGAAGGTAAGAGAAGTCCCTAACAGTACTTTTTGCCTGTGTGATCCTCCCTGTTTCTGCCCTTTGGATTGTCCTGCTCCTTTCTGAGCCACTGAAAATGGAAACCCAGACAGTTTGTCTCTGTTGTTGGTCCATCCTGTGCCTATCCTCTTTAGAAAGGAAATAAAAAGAGAAAACATACAAAACACAATCAAATAAAGCCTAGAGTAGCAAATCCAGTCTCATCCAGAGCACAAGGCTGTGGGCGGTCAGCAGCCACAAGAGATGATGAGCAGAGACTACAAAACCAAAGAAAGTCCCCAAATTCCCGTATTTGTTTTTCAGACTGATGGTTTGCTGTACTCACCCACCCTTCCTCCTCTTCCTCATCTGAGCCGTCCCCCTCTTCCTCCGATGAGTCACTGCCCTAAGGAGATGGAAAACCAAGCCATAGGTAGCCAGACTTGGAGATCTCCATTAGCATCACAACTGTGATGCTTGCCCTGCAAGGCAATGGCAGACCGTGCCCCCAGCTCATCTGGGTCAGAATCTCCACATTCTGTGGGCAGCGAAGCATCAGCAGCCTCTCTGAAGCACCCACCTGGTACCGTTGCTGCGGGGGATACAGGTAGGCATATCTGTACAGGTAATACCGATGCCTGCTCTTGAGCACCTGTAGAAAGAAGAAGGGCGTAAATCCCACTAGGCTGGGGCTTGAGTGACTGAAACGTTCCCATCCTCAAGGGCAGCACTGCGTGGGGCTGGGCATGTGGGATGGGGGACATCCTACCGCGTTTTCTTCTGAGTCATCCAACTTGGCTCGCCGCAGCCAGCTCTTGACCTGGGAGAAAGGGTGGGTTGGCACATGTCCCACACCAGCCCCAGCGAGGCCAGGGGTTGCCAGGGTGTCCCCCCAACTGCCTGGCACTCACCGAAAAGGCACATGCTATCCCCACCAGGCAGGCGAAGACCAGGGCAGTCCTCATGGCTGCTTTCTCTAGGAACAGCAAAATATGGCAAAGACTTGCTTTCCAGCTACCCCAAACCATACAGGTGTCTGCATCCACATGGGTGAGTGGGGAGAAAAAAGGCTGATCTCCAGCAACTACTTGATGTGGTCACCCAACCTCTCCAGAGATCCAAGTCTTTCTTTTTGTATTTGAACAAATCTACATTTTAGTTTTGAAAGAAGCCAGAAGAGTAATTTCACCCAGTAGTAGATGCCTTGTTTTCCCTAGGCAGGACTAGTTGCTCCTGCTTCCCCATTGCCTCCAAGTGAGTGGGGAATGCCAATCCCCATTGGAGATGGAACAGGAGCAGCCAGAGGGAGCGCTGCCCACTGTGGCCACCCTCCCACAGCCATGCAACCTGCTCAGTCTGCCCAGGGAGCAACGCTCATGGGAATTACACCTCAGAGAGCTAACCTCATGGAGGAAAAATAAATACGCAAGCAAAGAAATTAATATAATTGCTTCTGCAGTCTGCATTGACAAAATAGCACTGGCAAGGCACAAAGGCAAGAAGCCTGCTGCAGGCATATCTAGGAGGGGAGGCTTGGCTCTAGGCAGGTCTGAGCTGCACTCCCTAAGCCCCACAAAACCCAGCCTGCTTGCCTTCATCATGGCTCCAGCAAGGAACACGCCTGATCTTTCCCCCAGCACCCCAGGGAGGGATGCTCCCAGCCACCAGTCAGGCACAGTAACCTTCCTTTTTCCCTACTCTTCCTCCAGCTAAACCCACCATCAGTTCTGCTGAGTTTTTTGGGGGTGGGCAGGGGAGTTGTTATATTTATCTGCACTTGAGTTTTCCCCATCTTTGTTTAACTCAGGCTAGAAAACAGCTGGCCATGTGCCACCTTCCCTGGCCATGCAGCAAGGCTCTGGATGATCATCCCCTCCACCCAAGTGCTCCATGAAGGCATAGACCCAGGAAAAGGCTAAAAGCAGCATCCAGCCCCACAGCAAGCCAAGTCCCTCCATCCCCACAGAAAGCAGGTAGCAATGCACAACCCGGACAGGAAAAGCAGCAGCAAGCTTACCCAGCCCCAGCACTGATGGCTACCCGTGGAGTCAGCCAGCACTGATTTCCTCACGCTGCTTCCCACTGGGATATAAGGTCTATTTTGCCCCTCCCCCCCCCCCCCCCCCCCCCCAGCCAGTCACCGCCCTGTCCAGAGTGACGCCAGCCCTCCAACGTGCACCAGAAAACCCCCAAACTTGAGCGCTGGCAGATTTGGTGCACAAACATAGCAGCCGCACAGCTGCCAAACCCAGGGAGGTTTGGCACTGTGCCGCTTAATTGAGGGTCTGGCCTCAGAGCATGGCCAGAGGAGGCCGGAGGGTATAATAACACCCTGGGTTTAAATGAAAATAAATATTGGGAAATCTGTTCTCAGGGGGTGTCTGCCTCCTTTTTGGGAAATTCTGTCACTGTTTTTTCAAGCAGACAAAAAAGACCAACCTCAAAGGCCTGGCTTCACAGGCACTTGGGCATAGCCATTAAAGACAAAAAAGGCTAAATCCAAACAAATCACTTTCCAGACTGTCTGTAGAGGTGAAATGGGCCTCAGGCAGGGCAGGGAAAGAAAAGGGGACTCAGATACAGGTGTTACCACTCCCCCTTTGAGAGCCATTCTGCCACAGTGATGCTACAGAATGCAGGTCTGCTTTCATTTCTTATGCCCCCTGAACCACACAGAACCCATGCAGGGGCCGCCTGGCTCTGCATAGTCAGGTGTTGCCCAGCTGAAACCTGGTGGCTCTGTACATGTCCCCAGCAAAGCAGAGTAACTGCCTGGGGCAAAAAAAGATGCAAAACTCCACCCTCATTGCCGCCCAAAGCTCTGTAGGGACCTGGTGGCAGGATACAGCCAGGAGTTGGAGAGCTCCTGCCTTGCACCCTCATGGCAGGGGCTGGGGGCACATGGATGCTGCAGTGCCCCCTGGCACTCAACTCTGCAGAGACATCCTTTCCCTGTGTTTACTGTATCCTGCTGGTATTTTAGCCATTTATCTCTCCAGTGCACCTCTGCCTCCCTCTTTCCTAGATTTTTCTTGCATGAGTGATGTGCTGATGATGTCAAAGGCCCCTTCCTACTCATGCATGTGCCCGGGCTGCAGCAGCTTAGGGAAATGACTCCTCACTGAATGCAGCTTTGCTTACCACAGTGACAAGGAGAATTGCAAATCCCTCCTGATGCCTTCAGCCCTACAACCCCCAGAGAGGGAACAGCAGTGCTGGAAATGCAGGTCGATTCATGATCGGGTTAGCCAGTGTTCAAACCCTGGTTATTTAGGCAGAAAAATCCTCTTTGCAGTGGAAGACTCATGTTTCTGCTCAAAATCAGAGGCTGAAAGCCTCACCCACACCCAGGGGAGCCCAGTTTGAGTCTGAATTCGATTAGGAAACAAAGGATTTCCAGTTAACCAAATTCACAGGTCGCAACCAGAAAGATGAAGTGGAGTTTTTTGGTGTTTATTTGTCTTATTTTGCTCATCACCACATCAACAGGTATATGGTGGGAAGCTGCTAACTGCTGACCAAACACCATGCACATCATATGCTTTGGGGGATCTAGAGGCCCCTTGAGCCCCCGCGGCGGTACATCAAGCCAGGCCATGTGCCCACTATGCAACCTTTGGGGTGCAGGGCTCAGCAGTGCCTGCCCCAGAGGCTTCAAAGCCCGTTGTGTCACTGTGAGGAGCCTTAATTACAAGGGAGGCCTGGAGCTGGCTGTGGCTTTAGGCTGGCTCCTCAGACCAGGAAAACCCACACACACCAGGAAAAGAAAAAGAAAAGAAGGGTAAAAAAAGGAGCTGTGCAGTTTTCCTAAGCCAATGCAGCAGCCTATGGCAAAGCCAGGCACCAGCATTGCGAGGGGCTCGGCATCCCCCATCCCCAGGGAGCTGGGGTGGCTGGAGGGGTGGTCGGGGGCAGAGGACGGAGACAGCCCTGCTTTCCACTGCCCCATGGGCTGCCCTGTGCAGGAGAGCAGCAAGCATGTGCCCAGCTTTGAGGTTGAATTTCATCAGAGCTGAGGAACAGAGAGTGCTGGTGGGAAGCAGTTTCTAATGTAATTAAAGGGCTGCTGCTGCAGGCTGCTTAAAAAAAAAAAAAAAAAAAAGAGAACTGACTATAAAAAATGTTTATTTCACCCAAGATCCCTAAAAAGCACCTAAAAAGGATAATTAACGTGTGCTGAAGTGCTCCCACTGCCAGGACCTATATTTAGCCCCTGGGCCAGGGAGTGTGAGCTGCCTGTGCAGGCTCCTGGCAGCAGGAACCTCACAGCACCATGCAGGGGAGTTGGACAAACACGTTCAAAATGTTCCTATTTGAAAGAATAATAAATACATTTTAGAAGGCATCACATCTAAGGATTGGAGCTGCTTCATGAAAATAAACTTGCCTTTGCAGCTAGAAACAGAACATGGAACAGCTCACCTGCCTCCAGGGGATGTGTAAAACCCCAGTACCAAAACCCCATTTTTCAGGGCCACACTGAGATGATGAGCAGGAATGTTGATCTGCTGCAGGACAGGAAGGCTCTACAGAGGGATCTGGACAGGTTGGACCCATGGGCTGTGGTCAGTGGTATGAGGTTCAACAAGGCAAAATGCCAGGTCCTGCACTAGAGCCACAACAGCCCCATGCAATGATACAGGCTTGGGGAACAGTGACTGGAAAGCTGCCCAAAGGAGAAAGACCTGGGGGTGCTGAATGACAAAGCTGAACATGAGCAGCTTGCGCCCAAGCAGCCAAGAAGGGCAGCAGCATCCTGGCCTGTATCAGCAATAGTGTGGCCAGCAGGGCCAGGGCAGTGATCATCCCCTGTACTGGGCACTGGTGAGGCTGCACCTTGAATTCTGTGTTCGGTTCTGGGCCCCTCACTGCAACTGAGACATTGAGGTGCTGGAGCGGGTCCAGAGGACGACAGAGCTGGTGAAGGGCCTGGAGCACAAGTCTGATGAGGAGCAGCTGAGGGAAGTGGGCAGGTTCAGTTTGGAAAAGAGAAGGCTCAGGGGGGACCTTATCACTCTACCTGAAAGGAGGATGGAGAAAGGTGGGGGTTGGTCTCTTCTCCCAAGTAACAAGTGATAGGACAAAAGGGAATGGCCTCAAGCCGTGCCAGGGGAGGTTTAGAATGGATATTTGGAACCATTTCTTCACTGAAAAGGTGCTCAAGCATTGGAACAGGCTGCCCACGGCAGTGGTGGAATCACCATCCCTGGAAGTGTTAAAAAATGAGGCCCTCAGTGACACGGTTTAGTAGTGGACATGGCAGTCCTGAGGTAATGGTTGGACTTGATCTTAAAGGCGTTTTCCGATGCAGGTGATTCTGTGATTCCCTGACAAGGCGGGCATGCAACATGCAGCCCATGTGTGCAAATGCAATGGCTTCCCTTCCTCACCCGCATCAGGTTTTCACTGTGTACAAGTACATCGCCACGTTGCTCGTTACACGCTTTGGTGAGTGAGGAGGGGTCAGGCCAGCAGCCCACTCCCAAAGCCCTGTACAGGCACATCGCTGCCCTCACACAGCAGGCGATGACAACCCCGTGTCCCAGCGGTGGTGCGGTTTGTGCCAGCTGCTGACACCAGCTCAGTGCTGCAACTGGGCGGGCTTGCACCCAGCATGGCCCGGCAAGGGCACTGCCTGTGGCTTTGATGTAGGAGCCGGAGCCCATGGAGACCTCTCGGTCAGCACATCCCTGCCTGGAGCAGGTTGACATGGCTCCTATGTCCAAATGTAATTGTTAATTTGGCAGGGCGGTAAGTGCTGGAGCAGCGTGCTCCTGTCTTGCTCCAGCCCGCTGCAGGGCCAAGGCTGTGGTTGGGGCTGCACCAGCTTATTTCCACGCCCTGGAGCTATTCTGAAAGGAAACCTCAGGGCCAAAAATAAGTAAAGAAAAACAAAGCCAGAAAGACACATTGAGCGTGGAGGCCAAGGTGCTGCTGCAGCCAGGGAAAGGGGCACCCCTGTCATGCAGCCGAGTGGCCATGGCACCTCCAAAACTGGGGGAGAAAGCACCAGAGGCAGAGCTTACCCCAGCTCCCACCTCTCCCAATGTGCTGTTAAGAGACAGGAGCATGTGTGCCAGGGTAACAAACTGGGGAGCAAAGTGATGAGCAAGGAGAGGGTGAACCAGCAACAGCATAAGAATCCCTCTTTTATCCTCCCTTACCTCTCATGGCATAAACCTAAACACAAACCAACATCAGCCTGGCATAGGGCTTGTTATTTTTTTGCAAGCAGTTAATTTTAGAATAAAAGCAGGAGGAGAAAACACCTAAACCGCACCACGCATCAACCTCAAGTATCAGTACACAATCTTTGCATGTTGGCCCTCTGCAACTAAACATCTAATATAATTTTCTTTTTTTTTTCTGAGGCAAGAAACCAGATAAAGAAAATTAATTCTATTCACATGCCTGGCAAACTGTGGGCCACAAGTAGCTCTGTAATGCAAGCACTCTGAGGTGGCCTGAACTCTGGGGTACAGAAACTCAGCAAGGTCACATCGTTATCGCAAATCCCAGCACTTGCCACCACCCAGGTCCTCACGTGTCTGAGCAATACCTGTATATCATATTTCCTCTAGTTTTTTCTTGGTTTGTTTTTTTCAGGAGGAAGAACCCATGCACCAGACAGAGTGAGTTACCAGGACTGGTCCCACCACCAGGCTGCTGCCTCCATCTGTGTGTGAGCGCCCTCAAACACAGCCACATGACAGAAATAGGAGGAAAACAGCCCAAATAAACCCCCCAAAAGCCCCCTTTTTCAGGAGGAGAGCAGGCAGACAGCCTAGGTCCACTGCAGAAGTACCCACTGATAACCTGCACTGATAACCCAGCTCAGGAGCTGAGCTGTCTGCCTAAGTCAAATCAGTGTCCCTGAACACTCAGGCATCTGGCTGGTGTGAAGGCACCAGTGATGGCTGCCTACCTCCTCCCCAAGCAGGCCCTTCACAAAGATCCCTGCATTTGGGCTTAAAAAGTTGCCATTTGCAGCAGAGGCCTGTGTCAGCAGGGAACCACTGGCTTGCACTGAGTATTTGTTGTATACATACATGAGTTGCAAAATAATTGCATATGTATCCACATACACATAAACAAGTACATGCCTGTTGCATCTTAACACTTAGGCACTCTGAAAAAGAAGGTTTTGAAAGTTTTCATGCTATAATGAACCTAATTTTTGCTCTGTGCATGAAATAGCATAAGGTCTGCAAGAGGAAAGGTAGGCACTGCCTCTGTTCCCCAGCTGCAGGTTCAGCTCCTGTCTTCAGAGACCTGATACCTTCTGCTAAAACAAAACACCAGCTCTTTGCAGCTTTGTATTTCAGGGTGTGAAAACAGAAAAACCTGAACTGCAAACCATTTGCTCACACTTTAAGGTTTCCATAAAGAGTTCTGGGGGTGCCATGCAGGTGGATGCCAATGATTGCACTTTATGTGCCCAACCCAGTGCTGGGGCAGTGCTGGGAGGACCATAAAACTCCCAGGACATGGCTGTGCTGGGGGAGTGGGGGGAAAGTTATTTGCTATTCAAGTGCACGGCAATAAAAGGAGCTGGAATCAAAAATTCCTTAGAGCATTCAAAAGGTTTGTAACGTTTTGGGGTTTCACTGAAGTCAGAGGCTGTTTTCCCACAGCTGAGACATTCTTTTGTCCAGACTGATGGCAGCAGCGATTCCATTAGAGGTTTTTCCTCCCCATTGAAAAGGGCAGAGAAATACAAACTCTCCTTGCCTCAGTTGGTGAGCAGCAGTTCTCATCATAGAATGACTTGGGTTGGAAGGGACCTTAAAGCTCATCCAGTTCCAACCCCCTGCCATGGTCAGGGACACCTTCCACTAGATCAGGTTGCTCAAAGCCCCATCCTACCTGCCCTTGAACAGTGTCAGGGACAGGGCAGACACAGCTTCCCTGGGCAACCTGTTCCAGTGCCTCACCACCCTCACAGAGTGTGGGTTCACTTCAGCTTAAAGCCATTCCCCCTTGTCCTGTCACTATGTGTCCTTGTATAAAGTCCCTCTCCAGCTTTCTTATTGACCCCTTTAGGTATAAGACTGTTTTAAAATTTCCCTGGAGCTTTCTCTTACCCAGCTCTCAGCCTGACTTCACAAGAAAGCAGAAAACCATCACAGAAATGCATCCAGGGCACACAGAAGGCACAATCCTACCTGATTGTTTCTTCCACAGATATTCCCATTTCTGTAAGGCAAACAGGGGCCAAGGAGAAGCCCTGCAGCCAGCTACATCACTCAGCCTGCCATGGGAAGCCCAGGTCACTTGGCTGTGCAGCTAGAAGAGCCACTGCTGGATGGAGAGGTGCTCTGCTGGCAGTGAGGGTCTCTCCCACTCAAGCCAGGAAAATCAGGGGGTTGAATGCATTCAGCTTGCATGCCGTGGCCACCCCACATCTAGCAGCCATACAGGGCTCAGTGCTGCTGCCTCCCACTGCCTCAGCCACACCAGGTACTTATTAAAAATGGAATTTTTTCTTCTAGGAAAGGACAAAAAAAAAAAAAACCAACCCACCAAACAAGAAACTTTTCTTTTAAGATGGTGCAGACTGGTGTTTTCATAAACCCAAATGTGACCAAAAATACCTGCTTTAAACCCCAGTGCTGGTTCCTGGGTAAATCACTGTGTTCGGCTTTAGAGGCCACCCCCAATGCACAAAAAATGGCATGTGGGTGGATAAAGAAAATGCATACATTGACGTGGGCATTTTTTGTCCTTGCCTAACCCACCCGGCTTGCTGATCCTTATGATTTCATTGCACAACCAGCCCAAAACTGGATGCAGGAACACCTCCAGTGATGGCAGAGCCTGCAGATGCCTTCTCAGCCACTTCTCCTGCCTGCCTGACAGCAGAGAGTGGGAACACTTCCCTCAGATGCATACTGCATACAGGCAAACACTGGAAAAAAAAAAAAAAACAAAACAACCAAAAACCACATTGGAAGCTGCTAAAATGCCTTAAAATCCTCAAAGCAAGTATCTTTCTATTTTACTATGAGGGGGGTGAGGCACTGGCAGAGGTGGAGGTGCCCCATTCCTGGCAGTGTTCAAGGCCAGCTTGGACGTGGCTTTGAGCAACCTAGTCTAATGAAAGGTGTCCCTGCCCATGGCAGGTGGGCTAGAACCGGTTGATCTGTGACCATCCAAAACCTCACACTGTGAGGTGCTTGCTGCTGGCCACTTATGCTCTCCAGATGACAACCAGAGATGAACAGCATTTGATGGGGACTGCCCAGTGCCACCAGTGTCCACCAAAACCTGCCTGTCCTCTCAGGCAAGTGCTGCCAGGTGCAGCACAGGGGGCACAGGAGGGCAACACCCCCCACGCAGTAAGCCAGGAGGGACAGTCCCTTGGGAAGCCATCCCGGCACAACTGGCAGGCGTCAGCCAGCTCTGGCGCTAGCTCCCTGGCCTTTGAGGAGCAGCCAGCCAGCGGGAGGCAAATCCTGGCGCTGCTGGTGGGGACATGCGTATAACTGCAGCAGAGCCCTGGGAAGGCACGTGGAGGGGACCCACGTGAAGGGGAGGACAGCCAGCTACCCCCTAGCACAGGGTGCAGCGGGTGCTGCGTGGCTGTTTGCTACGCACGTACCCCTCCGGCTCAAGCTAAAGCAAATCAACCCAGTTTGTCTCTCATGCATGAGCCAAGAGGAGGACGAGTGTTCGCCTCCCCGTCACTTGTCTTCACCCTTCCCAGCACTGCTCACTCAAGGGTGAGGACAGGCAGAGAGTCACACACAGAGCTCAAGAAGCCGTCTCACAGAGCTTGCTCCATTCACCCTTGTGACATCTCAGCCATCCTGCTCAGGGGATGGGCTCACAGCAGAGCTGCAGGGCATCCATCGCCAAAAACCCCTCCCAATGCCTATCCCCAGCCGCTGTCCCTATGCAAACACCTCCTCTGATGTGACCTAGCTAGCGCCCGGAACGTCCCCACTGCCTGCGCGGCAGCACCGCTTGCTGGACACGGAAGACTTCACAGCAGCGCTACCCCATGACGCTGCGCAGGGGTGCCAGCAAACACATCATTGCTACAATCTCAAAACAAAGCAGCAGCTGTCAGCCAGCTCTTTTTGCACTTCTGGGCTGCAGCCAAACTTGTGTTCGCTGTCTTCCACCCCAGCGATGGGGCTGTGCACCAGCATTTTGGTACCCAGGACCCTGACAGGCATCATCAACTTCACAGCATACTGAACTCCTCACACATCTAATGCAAAGAGTCCAAGAAATAAGGGGCAAGACACAGCTGAGGTAGCCACTGTGCAGACCATGGGGGCAGAGGAGGAAGGGTCAGGAAAGAGGCAGTAACGTGGAAAAGCTGTATGTTTCAGAGCCAGCCTCATACAGAAGTAGGAAGGGCTTACACAGGGTGGAAATTAATACAAATTCCACTAAACCCAGGAGCTGTTCATCTCCCAGCTTTTCTAGTGGTAAGTAGAAAGAGCCTACAAATTAAGTGCAGTTTTGCTAGAAGTAATACCAAATTATTTCTTTACTGGCTCTTGAATTTGGCATTGCAATGCTCAGTAGTGACATCCAAGGCGGCTGAAAGGCATGCACAAACTTGTGCTGACCCCTTGGAGACAGTCCCCTGAAGAGCCACAACTCCATGCTGTAAAATTGTGCTGCTAAGCAACAGCCCACAGCTTCCTCCCTCAGCATCGATACCCATTGATGATTGTACAACTCAGCATACACATGTCAACCAGGGCCTGGGTGGGATTTTAAACAAATAACATGCTGTATAGTTGCAGGAGAAAAAAAGAAACACACTGAGTAACAGAAGCTTTACCCATGACCTACAAGCCCACAACAACCCCTTTATCCTCATTCACCAGCTCTGTGCTGCAGGAGACCTGGCATCAGGAGCCACTGTGAAGACACAGAGCCAGTGGTGCCCTGGAGCATCTCTTTCATAGTGCCTCAGGAAGAACAGAACAACCCCTGCTCACATTGCAGCAGGTTGATGGCCATGATATAGCAAAGCCCCAGGCTCAGCTTTTCCCACCTTTTCCCAGCTTTTCCACCCCACTGCTGGGTCACCTCAGGGCAGGGTGGCCCTTGGGGTGCCTGAAAATCACAGTTTGGAGCATGTCTCAACCTCTGCTTTCCCCCTCACCCCAGAATGCTGTGGCTCCCAGTGTGAACAGCCTGGCTCTTGCTTCTTGCTCGCTCCAGTCCAACCTCAAATCTCAGCACCCATCTCCCTCCAGAAAGAAAACCAGCAACACCTCAGACCACGCCACTATGGAGTGTGATGGTTTTAATGGTAATTAGAGAAATCAACAGGGTACATTTCAGCCTTGAAATACAAGTGCAAAAAGGATACAATATAGTGTTTTCTGTACATTTCTTACAAAATATTACATACATTCCATCCTGAAGTGGTACTTCACACACTGCTGAGCCCACGCACCACACGTGTACACCAGCTGTAGCTTTTCCTCTTTCCCTCCTTATGTGCAGGACATGGATCTAACAGAAAGCCCCCATTAGAGTCTGGACAGATGCTTTCAGGGCAGTGCTAGGTAAATACAAGGGGTGAACACAGGGACCTTCCTGCCCAGCATGCCCAGGTGCTGGCAGCTCCTGCAGTGCTGAGCTGCCACTGTGCCTATGTGGCAAGTGGGCAACATCACCCTGCTGGCACTCAGAGCTCTTGGTTTAGGAAATCTTTTTCTCACTGCAGTTTGGCATTTTCCCTGTGCCTGGCATCACCTCCCACTTCATGCCCTGTATAGTATACCCAGATCGAGTCATGGCAAACCTGCTTCCATTTTACCCACAGCATCTCCTCAGGAAGAAGCCAGCCAGGCTAAATAGCAAATAAATTAAACCCTCCTCCCCCCGCACTCCCCCAGCACCAGTGAGCTTGTGTGACATGTGTCAGTACCCATCCTGGCAGTCATTGTCATCGTAGTCAGCAGCAGGCTTGTTGCGGTAGGCACCCAGCCGCCGCTTGCGGCTCCCGCTCTCCAGGCTCTGTGGCGAGCTGTTGTCCCCACGGCTGCTGGACTCGCGGGTGGCATCCTCCTGGGAGTGGCTTTCATCATCATCATCATCCTCCTGGGACTCACTGATGTTGCTCTCTGTGGACCTGCTGTCCTCAGCCGCATCATCCTCTTGGCTACCATCGTCCTCTGGTGATGAGCTCTGGCTCTCAGTTGATGTGCTCGGCTCATCCCCATCAGGGTTGGAGTCATTCTCATCCTCCTTTGACTCCTCTGCAGTGTTCTCTGTGGACAAGCTCTGGTTGCCGTCATCTTCTCTGGACTCACTGTCAGGTGTGGATGGTGCACTCTTGTCCTCAGCAGACTCCTGGTCCTCCTGCTCTTCCCGGGACTGGCTGCTGCTGTGCTCACCTGATGCGCTCACCACCTCCTTGGGGATGTCCTCTGGGGACTCCCCTGGCTCTTCATCTGACTGTTCAGCGGTGCTCTCTTTGGACTCGCTGTCCTCATCCTCCCTGGATGGGCTGTCCTCCCCATCCCCGTCCTCCCTGGAGCGGCTTGCACTGTTCTCCTCTGACTGGCTGGTGTCAGGCTCTTCTGACTGACTGCTTTCCTCTGTGGATGGGCTGTCTTCTCCCGAGTCAGCATCCTCCACCTCTGGGGACCTGCTGTCACCCTCCTCCCATTGGGGGGAGCCAGCCTCCCAGCTGCTGCCCAGGGCATGAGGGCCAGCACGACGCCCCTTATAGCTGCTGGCTGGGCCATCAAAGACAGAGGGGTCATCACCCTGCATGGCTCCACCCTCGAAGTTGTAGTGTTCCTCCTCCTGGCTGCTGCTGCTGCCCCCTCCATGCCTGTAGGTCCGCTCATACCGGCTACCGAGGTAGTTCCTGTACTGCCGGTGGTCTGCCCCCATGCTCTCACTGCTGCTACTGCTGCTGCTGTCGCTGTGCCCTCCAGCAGCCCCGGTGTCCCCATGGCCAGTGTCATGGTCATGTTCGCCTGCCCCATCAGGAACTGCCACATAGGTAGGACCTTCACCCCCATCCTCTGCCCCATTCTCATCAAAGGTGTCATCCCCACTGTCATCCTCTTCATCCAGGAGCCTGCCAGCATGGGAGGGAAGCACATTGACTCCAGTGCCATGGTGCTCTCCGTTGTCACTGTCATCAGCATCACGTGCATCCTCCTCCTGTGGAGATGAAAAATGGAAATGAATGCAAAGGCTTGTGTGTCACAGGCACCAGGACTGCTCAACATGCAGCCCAAGTGCTATCCTGACCAACACAGATTTGGTGCTATGTTCACTTTCCTGGCACAGCAGAACACCCCTCTCTGCTCACTCACCAGGAAACCCAGGCTGTTCCCATCCCGGGCACTCGCATCCTCGTGGTCCACCTGGTTCAGGTGCTGAGGCTCCCCAGCTCTGTCCCCCTTGTCATGGCCACCATGCTTGCCCAGGTCCTCACCAACAGCGTTCCCAACTGCTGTGTCCCCAGCAAGGGTATTTTCCGTCTCTCCTGTGACTGGAGGATGTCTGCCATCTTCACCATCCAGGAGGTTGCCCAGCTTGTTGATGTACTCTTCATTTGCTGTGTCCTGAATACAAAACATGACACAGCGCTTTGGGTTATTGAACACCACTGCACATTTACTGCTACTGCTATGGGATGATGTATCACTCCTAAGCCATGCAAGTACTCAAGCATCTTTTTATTGCTTCCACCCCAACCCTTCAGTTGTTTCTGCTGATGCAAAACCAGAAGTAGCCGCCAACAAAAGGGTAACACAGAAAAGCCATGACAGTTCAGAGCAGAGAAATTCATGTTTCAGGACCAGCACAGCAGAACGCACAATGTGAATTGGGAATGTGCACAAGGAAACAAGGCAAAATGAGGTGAAACCAACCCAGACTAGAGAAGACTGAACAGATGGGCAAAGCTCAAACACCCACAGAAGCAGCAGGTGTTCCCTCAGGTGCCTGCTTCAAGGATGCCTACCTGGGGCTGGCTCCCCATTCGTTGCCCTACAAGTATGCTGCTTATGGGACCAGGGCACCCCATGGCTTACCTGTTGCTGGGCACTGCGGAGGGAGCGGGTGGGCTCATGGCCAGGCACCTAAACACATCCAGGAGACATCTGATCAGTGACCGGTGTGCCTTGAATGGGCAAACCACCAGGGTTTGGGGTTTGAGTACCTGTCCATGGATACTTACAGGGTGAGCGCAGGCTATGGGCCAGAGGAGCAGCACCACGAATGCAGCCCTCATGTCAGTTGTGGTCCCCTTGGCTGCAATAGGGAGCTAAGTATTAGCACACTAGAGCAAAACACTGCTACATGCCCCTGGTTGCAACCAGGCCCTACAAAGCCCTTCCAGCTGATACAGCCTTGCCACCCTTGCACATGGTGCTCAGCCTGGTGTGTTATCAAACAAGCCAAGGATTTGTCCTTGTGCCACCTCCTGGCACCTTCTGTGCAGAAACTTCCTTTTAGTTTGGAATTTTAAATAACTGGCCATGCTCCTGCAGATATTTTGTCTAAGCATCATTAAAGAGTGGAAAAGTTCATCCAAATTCGCTGTTCCCACAGAAATGTCACCAGCCACCCAGCTGAGATCAGGGGCAGTGATGGGAGCAGGCACCACAGATGGGCAGCACCATAAGACAGTGGGCTACAGAGCTATGCCTCCCACCTGGTGTAGTTCCTACAGTCCATAAAACCCCTGCTGCCCAAAGTGGAGTCCCTGGTAAGACAACCACATGGAGAGCTGCATCCCCTGTGGCCACTGGCTCGGTCTGGCAGGTGAAGCAGCAAGGGGCTTTCCTCCAGCTCTGCTATCATTTTCCAAGTCACACAAGCAGCCCAGCAACACATCCCCGCAGGGCATACTGACTGCACTGCACATCAGGCCCTTAGTGACATGGTTTAGTGGTGGACTTGGCAGTCCTGGGGTAAAGGTTGGACTTGATGATCTTAAAGCTGTTTTCCAATCTCACAGATTCTATGATTCTATGATCATCCTGCACCCAAAACACACTGGAGCAAAGAGCTCCCAAATTCTTCCCTTAAAAGCAACACCAACACTGCAGCTTACAAGTGCCCTGCTTTCTACCAAAACTTGGCTTCAACCCCTCTTGCCCAAAAATCACCCTTTTCTCTCCAGGTAATGCCAAAGCAACCCAAAGAAAGCAAAACCTTTACCTTGAGCGCTGTGTGAGCGGGTGTCTCCTCGGTGCTTGGGATGGGATGGGCTGGCTGCCTGTGCTGGGATGCCCCGTGCTGTGTGCCCTGGCGTGGCTGTGCAGGCATTTAAGCGCTGCCCGGCGCCAGCCCCGGGCAGGGGGCAGCCAATGGCACCGGCAGGCAGCGCGGCCACGCGTGGAGGTGTCACCGGGAACTGGCCTCCCACACTTCCTCCGGCCTCCGCTGGGACGCCGGCCCCAAAAAAGCTGTTTGTGGTTGCAGGACGACGAGCCGGGCCAGCAGTTAATGACCGACTGCGCCGGCCTCTGTTTTCACTGCTAAATTTGTTCCGTTCACACACTTCCCGCTGTGACACACACAAACAACTACAGCCTGGCCAACGCCGAGCACCAGGCCCTGTCCCGGGGATGGCATCCTCCTAAGGCATGCACTTGGGAACAGCGTGTGCCCTGTGCCATGGTGCTGAAACCCACGTGAGAGCATTCCCACTCAGCCTCCTCCTGCCCCTTGGGGCAGAAGCACAAAACACTGTGGCAGAAGGAGAGGACATGCTTATTTCCTGCCCACATTTGCACCCATGCAAGGGAGAAAGGAAATACTAACTAGGTGCACAGGGAGGATCACACCCCCTGCACAGGGGACTGTAGCACCCCCAGAGCTTCTTCTAGCTGCTGGTCAGGGGATGAAATCTCTGCTCTGGAAAACACAGGCAACAAGACATGCACATGTGTATAGGCATGTATATACATGGGCATGTACATGCAAACATACATATGAAAACACACACCACATATACCATTTGGTGTAGCATGGATTATAGGCAGGTAGTGACAGGACAAGGCAGGGTGGCTTTAAGCTGAAAGAGGGAAGGTTTAAATGAGGTATTATGAAATAATCCTTCACTATGAGGGTGGTGAGGCACTGGCACAGGTTTCCCAGAGAAGCTGTGCCTACCCCATCCATGGCAGAGTTCAAGGCCAGGCTGGATGAGACTTTGGAGAAACCTGGTCTAGTGGGAAGGTGTCCCTGCCCATAGCAGGGGGGTTGGAACTGGATGGTCTTTAAGGTCCTCTCCATCCCAAACCATTCAGATTCGATGATTACCTACTCCAAACAACACAGTAACCCAGCAGTGCAGATATCCTCTACCTGATCACAGTGTGAGAGGGAGTTTGCAAACCCCCATATGTGCACACACACACACACACACACACACACACACACACACACACACATCCTGACACAGTGCAAATGCACCTCTCTGACCATGTGGTTTAGGTCAGGACCAGCATGCCTCAGCCTTACACCTGGCTTTTCCCTCTGCCCCAGTCTGGGTGGAAGGAAGGCAACTTCCTTGCCTGTATTTGGCCATTGCTAAATCCCCTGTGCCCACAGTACCCTCTCTCTGCTAATAAATATCACACCACAAGTGCAAATAGATTGCTTTGAAGCAGCAGTGCTTCTCTGCTGTGCAAGCTGGGTTCTCACACAAACCAAGCTGCGGATTATGGGCACAACCACAGGGCGAGGGGCCAGGAGGAGGGTGCCTACAGGTGTTTTATTGAGAAGGAAGTGTAAATGACAGCACTGATACTCTGTGAGGAGTGTTTGTACATCCTCCAGGTAGGAGAAGGCGTTTCTGCTGCCCTGGGCAAGTGCTGGAAATGCTGATACTGCAAAGTAAATGAATTAAAGAAACCTGAGCAGGGTCTGGGTTGAGCCTGGGCTCTGTGAACTGCAGATTACCTGAATTTACCTGGAATGTCCCGTGGCAGGGGGTTGGAACTTGATGATCTTAAGGTCCTTTCTAACCCTAACTATTCTATGATTCTATGTATCACCCTCAGACAACAGTATCCAGGAAGCATCCTCCATGCTATGAGACCACCATGGCTCAACAGAGCATCTTGTGAAAGCAGGCGTGTCAGTCTGCTGTTGTGGCTGCCTGCTTAATTTCATTCTTGAAGATCTCCTGCTTTCCTGCTTTCCCCCCCAACCCCATCATTACCTGCCAGGGGAATTTGCATACCTGCCCTGTGAGGACTGGGCAGGGACCAGAGGTGCCAAATGCGACAAACGCCTTTTTTTCCTTCCTCCTGCTCCCCACACAGGGAGGTCCCAGGGCTGACCCAGCCCCATTGCTCTCCCCATAGCCCCTCAACCTCAGGATGGGTAACACCAAGCTGCTCGCTCTCACGCATGCGTACACTTTCAGCAGATGTTTTCCCTGTTCTTCCCTACCCAACTCCTGTTGCAGATACTGTGGGATGTATTTTCCTCTTGACCTGTGATAAAATTATACCCCTGTCCCCGGCCAGATATGAGTTCATGTTGCCAACTTTTTTTAGGCACCTTCAACAATTACCGTGTTTTGTTGTGCTGGGTTTTTTATGTCAAACCTACATTTAACTCAGCCCCCAAAGTTCTGGTGGTGCCTCACGTCCAAGCTGTGCAAGAAGGGGATAAACACCAAGCTGTGCGAACCTGGCTTTTTTATACCACATTTCACTTGCTTACCCCTCTGGCCACCCACCCCCAAGTCACCTTCCTCCTCTCCAGTGGCCCCGAAAATGGCACCAGTGCACCCAACAGCACTCGCTGCCAGAACCCTGACCAGACCCCAAGTCCTTGTGTCCTCCAATAGCCCTGGGTTGAAAGACCAGGTCTGCCCCCTAAGTCCCTTCCAGAGAGCATCCCATATCATCAGCCAGAGTGTCCAAGCAGCTCTGCCTTTGTTCTGCAAGGAAAGGAAAGCCCAGCCCACACACTGTAACCTTACAAAAAGGCTTAAAAAATCCCAACCCCCTAAACCGATAATATTGAGGATTATTGTTTGCTACACCATAGGTGAGAAATGGGCTGGGGTTGGGGGAAGTGGCTGCCCGAACAGTGTTATAAGTGCTACTGTGCATTTCCCCAAATCATCATCTCTCCTGCGACGCTTGGTCCCTGGAGGCAGCCAGGACAAGAAGCAGCAGGGCAAGGAACATAGGGAAACCTGGCCAGGCTAAAGCTGGCACCCGCAGGCTACTGAGGAGGTGGCTAATTCAGACAAGAGGTCTGGCAGGGCTAATGAGAAGACACAGGAATATCACTCTGCTGTTTGACAAGTTGGACTGTGCAGTGTTCATAAGGCAGAGGTAAGATATGAGCACAGACAGCAGGACAGATTAGAGATGCAAAACCAAGACAGAAGTTGGAACGGCAGAGAGTGAACTGATGATGGAGGCACATAACTGCTGCTCTCTTCCACCAACTGAGCCATCTCAGCATTGAAAACTCAAGAAATCAGTATTTAAAGAACAACAACAACAATAACACACTGTTCCCTCTTTTTTTCAGTCCAAGGTATTTTCATAGTGTTTATGTTGCTGGTGCACTTTTCTCTTGGTGACACCCATGGGTTTTGACAGCAGCACCAAAAGAAAAGGATTAATGAGTGAACTGGAGGAGGAGAGACCAGAATGAGAGCACAACTCAAGGCACACATCTCTGTCCCTTTCCCAGACACTCAACACCAGCTCCTGCCTTATGCTTAGATCCAAATCCCTCTGCCAAGCACTTGCTGGTGACAGTTACTACAGTGCAGGGCTGTGTTTTCAATTGGGAGCAGGCAGGAATGCCTCCTATTCATTTTCCCTGTACATGCCACATTAGCAACAGGAATTACCCAGTGCCCAATCCCAAAGGACAGATTCCCACACTGCTCCTCTAACAGGTGCTTAGCCTTGCAAAGCACCCAGATTCCCATGTCACAACCTGCTTTGCAGGTAGACAGACCATAGCTGGTGGCTGTGGGCACAAAGGGGAGAAGCAGCCTGGCTGTGGCTCCTCTGCACATGAAAGGAATCTGAGCAAAGGCATCATGCCTGTTCCCTGAAGTCTGAGTAAATATTACCCGTGTTTCACAGCATTAAAGTAACACACAATGCAGTAGCTACTGGTAACATTTTAGGTGTTTGAAGAACAGCATTGATATTTCAGCTCCCCCCAGCAGCAAGCCTCAAAGCTACAAACACTGTGGTACATGGCAGATGGAAGTTAACGTCATGTTTTTCACAGTGCAGAGGCGCCAACAATACTGGTTCATGCTAAGCTTTTAAAATCCGCTATTTCTTCTCACTGTTAGAAAAACACATCTTAGGTGCTTGAGTCCTGGAGCTCTGAATTACAGACACACACAGGGCCCCACTAATGCTAGACCCCTGCACAAGACCAGCAGCCCTCTGCACAAGGGTAGGATCATAAACCTGTCCTCGGGTGCCACCATGGAGCTTCCTTTACAGCCAGAGAAAACAAGCACTTTAAAGTCACCCATCATTTGCCCTATTTCAACCACCTATTTCAGACTGAAATGCAGCACAGACTGCTTGAGGTCTCCGTGACAATGCCAAAGGAAGGTGACCAGCATGCTGGTCTTGTCCTACCAAGAAGATGCACCATGCTCTTGCCCAATACACATAGAAGGCAAGTTCCCGAAGCCCTGTCTCTCGCCACTTCCGATCAACACTGCTGGCACAGGTACCAGGCAGCCTAGTGTGGCTGGGCTCTCATTAGTTCAGCACAGACAGCAGTAATCATAGTGACAGCAATGGATAATTATGGCTCCTAAAATTTCATTCAGAGTACAATATCTTCTACAATCATTCCCTGCTCAGAAGTCAGTCCACTGGGAGGTGGGAGCAGTGTGTACTTGTCAATCACAAGCTGGAAATGGAACAATAACAGAGCCTTAACTTGAAAAGCCCTCTCTAAGCATCTCTCCGCACTCGCCCCTACTCCACCTGGAATTGCAGATATCTGTGCCAGACTCCGGCAAAGCAGCACAGTGAGAGTGCTCTTGGGAAATAACACAGCAATGATCTGGGGCCAGGTATGCCCTCACATCAGCTGGCAGCTGGTGTGACCTC